ACTCCCAGACTTCAAACTATACTACAAAGCCATAATCATCAAAACTGCATGGTATTGGAACAAGAACAGACATACAGACCAATGGAATCGAATAGAAAATCCAGAAATAAACCCACAGATTTATGGTCAACTAATCTTTGACAAAGGAGCAAAGAATATGCATTGGAGCAAAGAAAGTTTGTTCAATAAATGGTGCTGGGAAAACTGGGTCGCTACATGCAAAAGAATGAAGCTTGACCACCACCTCACACCATACACAAAAATCAACTCAAAATGGATTAAAGAACTAGACATAAGACCTGAAACCATAAAATATATAGAAGGAAATATAGGCGAAACACTACGTGATTTGCACATCAAAGACATCTTTACAGACACATCACCCAAAGCAGTGATAGTGAAGGCAAAGATAAACAGCTGGGACTACATCAAATTAAAGAGCTTTTGCACAGCAAAAGAGACAATAACAAAAACAAAGAGAAACCCCACCAACTGGGAGAACATTTTTGCACCCAACACTAATGATAAAGGACTGATCACAAAAATCTGCAAAGAGCTGATGAGACTCAACAACAACAAAGAAAATAATCCAGTCAAAAAATGGGCAGAAGAGCTTAAAAGAAACTTCTCTGAAGAGGAAATGCAAATGGCCAAAAGGCATATGAAAAAATGTTCAACATCACTTGTCATCAGGGAAATGCAAATCAAAACTAACATGAGATACCATCTTACACCAGTGAGAATGGCACATATTAAAAAAACTAGCAACAACAAATGTTGGCGAGGGTGTGGAGAAAAAGGAACTCTTCTGCACTGTTGGTGGGAGTGCAAACTGGTCCAACCACTGTGGAAAGCTGTATGGAGATTTCTGGACCTACTAAACATAGAGCTTCCATATGACCCAGCAATTCCACTCCTAGGTATTTACCCAAAGGACACAGAAACATCAATTCCAAAGAACACCTGCACCCCTATGTTTATAGCAGCACTGTTTACAATAGCTAAGCTTTGGAAACAACCCAAATGCCCAAAAATAGATGACTGGATCAAGAAGATGTGGTACATATATACCATGGAATATTACTCAGCATTCAAAAAAGATAAACACATGCAATTTGCAGCAACATGGATGGCGCTGGAAGGGATCATGCTCAGCGAAATAAGCCAAAAAGAAAAAGAAAAATACCGGATGGTCTCACTCATAGCAGGAATCTAGAAAACTTAAATAAGGGACCAGGAAAATGAATAACTATAAGAAAGTGAAAATCAAAATCAACAAAAAACTATGAACCAGAGACACTTTTAGGGGGGCGGGGGTGGGAGGGGAGGGATTGGGTCAGAATGGGGGGCTGCAATTGTATGGGGAATATAACAATAAAATTTATTAAAAAAAAAAAAGTGCAAAATTGCCAAACTTCAGATTACTCTGTGGGTTGCAAGAAATAGCTATGAAAACATGGAGGAGATGAGAGTAAATGCAAGAAAGAGATAAGCACTGTGTTGCAAACACTAGTCCTTCCTTCTTTCCTTCACTCGATAGGTACACACTGAGCACCTGCTCCAAGGGACTAAGAGCAACTCCAGACACTGGGCATGTGCCCAGCATATCAATGTACCCTTACACGGCTTCCACCCAGTGCAGAAAAACTAGGTAAAGGGAAAAGACATAAATGGTAGATTGTCTGTTTGTTTTTATGACACAAAGGGAATTAAAAAAAAAAGGGGAAAAAATCTGTACTCTTATAACACATTTTCTTTACATTTTGTGTAAATGGTTACTGGATGTTTTCCAGTATAATGCTGTCAAAAATTTACTTGACAACTTTTAAAAATTTACCTCTATGATGTGTATTCTTAGTGCTCTTACTCTGAAATCATCAATTTAGGTACTGACTAGTAGAAAGCATGGTGTGGTAGGACATTTCAAAAAAATCCAAACTTGCTTTCAAGTATATTTGAAAGCATATATCTCATTATGAAACAATTGAGTTCCACATGTGCATTATCGCCAAAGAATAGAATCTTCACAGGATTCAGATATGTATTTATTTCTGGTGAATATTCCCATATTTTTCCTCAGCAGTTCATCTCTCATCATTCCAATATTCCTACTCTTTGTTTTACAATAATTCTCACAATCACCTCTGGCTTTTCCTGCTCCCAGTGATTGGCTCTATGTAACATTCCTTGCATTACAAATTACCCAAATTATAAATTGCCCACGGACACTGCAATGCCCCCATTTCTTCTCTTGTCAAGAGTTCCCAGTGTCCCTGCTGTCCATCACAGAATGTTGGAACCTGCAGGGACAATACTTAGAAACAGAACCCTCTGAGCCATCGTGGCCTCCGCTTCTGTTCACCCTCCTAAAGCAGGCTCTCCCTGTGTTGTCCTCTAAGCAAAACCTTCCTTGTTTTTAGCACTCCACTCTGAACTGTCCAGACCGCTTTGCTGAACATTTAAGGTTGTCTGTGCATTTTTCCCCAAGACCCCAACATGCTTCTCAGTCTCACCTTTTCCATTCATTGATTTAAAAGAATCTGAGCATCCTTCAAAAGGATTTAATTTGAGCTATGCAAGAGGCTTATGATAAACTAAGAGAAACAAGTCACTGTCCTACTTTCTAGCAGCCCTGAGTTTCATGGGCTGTGGGGCAGAGGAGAGGTCAGTATAGGCATGATCTACTGTGTGTCCAGGTTGGTGGCTGCCCAGGGAGTTCAGGAGGGAGCTTCTTCAGGGCTGCTGTCTTGCTGACCTTGCTTCCTCAATGCTGACTAAATTACTTGGTTGCTATAGCATGGCCCCTCTTGTCAATACTCCCTAAATTTGCTCCTGAGGTTCTCCTTCTCTGTGGAATGTCTTTTCTCTGCTTTTCTGCCTATGCCACATCTATCTGGTATTTCCAAATTAGATCAGATGCCAAGCAATCCATCAAGCTCTTCTTACTCTCCTCCTGTTAGTATCTCCCATTTGAATTTCCATGACACAAATTATATTTCCTTTCCTGTTCTAATCCTTGCATGTATTGGTTTATCATCAAGGGCTTGTCTCTGACCACTTCTGTCTACCTCTTATGAATACCAACTATGATTTTATACATATAAACCTACAAAAAAAACCTAAAAGAACAAAGAAAGCGTTCACTGGATGCTCTCTGTATTAAGTTGCACATCAGACAAGACTCCATTGTGAAATGGAAAAAATGGTATTGATCTCCAAATGCTTGTAGTAAGGTTACTACACAAATTACTGTAAAAAGTAATGGGGTGGAGAGAAAAGCTACCACTCAGAGGCTATGGACTCGGGCTTGAAGAAGTTAAACAGACCTATTCACAAGGGGGAAAATTATTTTTCATTTGCCTTCATTAAAGCCTAATTTTAGATCTTTGATAATTGAATGAACATACTGTTTATGCTCTATACACTTTCTGCCCTGAGTCTTGGAAAATCCACGAAATTTCCAAGAATTAAAGTTTCCATTAGCACAAGTGCCAAAGCAGGAGGCTTGACCTGTGGAGAAAGCTCATTTGTCTCTGTTGGCTCCGTTTCAAATAGCTGCTTAAAGATCTTCGCTGTGTGACCCTCCCAGTGCACAACTGCTCTGGTTTACCATCGGGGCCACCTGGGGCGGGGGTGGGGTGCGGTGCGAAGAAAGAAGCTGCAACATCTCTGAAAGCCGCCAGTTACAAGGCCCCCTCTGGGGTAAATGTTCATCACTGCGGGAGAACGCAAGGGTTACTTTCTCATTATGGGGGCGGCGGGGGGGGGGGGGGGGGGGGGGGGGGGGGGGGTGCGGGGGGAGGTGAGTGTGTGCAAAAGAGACAGAGACCCATCCTGGGAACCAGCTTTGTCAGGTAAAAAAGCAAACGACTAGAATGGGTTTCAGAACCTCTTCCACCTGTATCTTCCCTACTGGACGGAAATTTGTTGTCAAAAACCAAGTGCACCCGAAAACCTCAGGAGACAATTTTATCCATTGTCTCTGGTTTATTCAATCTGAAGTAGCCCCATGATCTACCCAGGCTACAAAACCGGAAAAAAAAATTTCAATTCTCTTTACGTCATTGAACTTGAACCCTGCAAATTCTCTCCCCCAGCAGGGAGCCTTTTAAAGACTTGCTAATCACGCAGGAGGCCTGGGGGTCGCAGCTAAGCAGAAAAGAGCAGTTTCCACAGGTCCCGCCCTCCTCGGGCGCCCCTCCCCTGGGCCACTCCCCACCTCCCCTCCCCCGCCACCAGCGACTTCGGAGGCCTCCAAGGTCTGGCTAGCGCCCCAGCCCGGGCTGGGAGGCTAATTAGCGCAGCATCCTCTGGAGGTCCTCACGCCCCGGCCCCTCCTCCGCCGGCAGCCGGGGCCAAGGCATGCAGCGGAGCCCGGGGAGGGCAGATCTGCACCCATCCCCCTTCCTCCACCCTCCCCACCTCCAGATTCTACTGCACCTTTTATTATTCTAACGTCTCCCCAGAGCGCTGTGTCTCTCCCTCCGGCGTCCGGGATGGGAGCGCAAGGGTCCTGCCCACGGTCGGCCGGCGCGCGCGTGGAGGGGCCGCTGTCCACAGACTGTAAGTTTCCGAGCTCCTCCTGGGCAAGGGAGGGGGCAGCCCGTCCCCCGAAAAGGACTGAAAAATGCGAAACACTGCAGAGGTTTCCAAGGTTGGAGGGGCTTTGAAGGCACGCTCTTTTTACTTCATTTGCTGCGCGCTAGTTATTGCCAGGGTTTTATTCCTGCAGCTTGCGTATTTAATCCCTTCGTTGTAAAGAAGTTTCGGTCTTCCAGTACTGCACAATGAGTTTCAGCAAGAAAACTTGTCTTTAAAAAAAGCAACTCATACTTCCTTCAAATTTAAAATATCAGAAAATTTCAAGTTACAGAGCACGTCCATTTTTTTCCAAATTACTGTAAACATTTTTATTTAAACGGCGCAAAACCCCCAGCCTTTTCTTTGCCTTTTCTAAAACGAACGGAAAGAATGTCCCCTTTATTTTTAATATTGCTGTATCATGCAAATGCTTTAATAAGTAGATCATGATACCAAGCTGAACTTCATTTTCATTACAGACGCCGCATCATCGTTTCCTTGCACAAATCTACAGGCGCCACCGTTACTCCCAGAATTATCACTGAGTCTGCTGTTTACAGGAAGGCTCAGTTTTGCTTAATCAAGGTTATGGCCATAAGTGCTCGGAATGTTAGAAAAATTCCAACCTCTGTTTCAGACCATATTGTCTGGCATCCCGGAATTGAAGCACAAACTAGAATCGAATATAGAAAAGTCAAATCCTTCCTTTAGCTTTGCATGTCACCCTGAATGCATAAACCTACTCAGAACGCAAGGACCGAGGAGGTGAGGAAATGCGGGGGGGAGGTGAGAAAACGGGCAGTGGTTTCATTCATCGTTTTCCTCCTGCAGGAGGACGGGACGAAACTGAAGGCGCAACAGGTCAGCGACAGGTGGATAGGCTGGCTATGGTCAGGGGACGATGCTGGCCAGAAAGAGCATCATCCCGGAGGAGTATGTGCTGGCGCGCATTGCGGCGGAGAACCTCCGCAAGCCGCGCATCCGAGACCGCCTCCCCAAAGCCCGCTTCATCGCTAAGAGCGGGGCCTGCAACCTGGCGCACAAGAACATCCGCGAGCAAGGGCGATTCCTCCAGGACATCTTCACGACGCTGGTGGACCTGAAATGGCGCCACACTCTGGTCATCTTTACCATGTCCTTCCTCTGCAGCTGGCTGCTCTTCGCCATCATGTGGTGGTTGGTGGCCTTTGCCCATGGGGACATCTATTCTTACATGGAGAAGGGGATGGAGAAAAGTGTTTTGGAGTCCACTGTGTGTGTAACTAATGTCAGGTAAGAATACAGTGGGAGGGGGAGTGGAGGACGGTTGAAACAGCACAGAAAAAGATATTCAACTACTCTTGCTCTTATCACTGTTATTTTGTTGAAAGTGAAATAAAGTTTGCTGTAATACCTTCAGAAACAAGGAAAAAAAGTAACCCAATAAATTAAAAGTATTTTAAAAGGCAGCTTTATAGATGAGGAGTCTCTGAAAATGTGGAGTTTCCATCCCTTGGGCAAGCCTTGAAAATATTATATCAATCAATTTAATACAGTTGTGGTTCAAAGAGGACCTTACTTAAAATAAAAAGACGTCTGTTTAGTTTCCTGTATGAAAATGCTGCTGTCCACAGTTTCAGTGTCCACATATAAATATCTCGAATCAACAAAAAGTACTATGCTCATGCTAGTAAAATTTTCCTTGACTTCTCTTACCCATGACATTTTCTGAAATAATGAGAATTACAGGCCCTGGATTAAGTTCATTAAAAGTAATCTAACAAATGTAAGTCCTTCTCTGTCAAGATTATTTTATGATAGCTAATTGCTTCAGTAGATTAAAAGTAATGCAAAGATTCACACCTAGAAAAAAATTTAATGGAAACAGGTCCAAATTTTTTTATGGAAGAGGTTATATAGAAGTAATGGCATGGTTTTCTCATAGAGTTGTAACAGAGAGAAACAAGACAGTTCTTAGGGTGCTTTTGCTTCTTTCTCTTTATCATAAATATTTCAAAGATAGAGAAGGTGAAATTGATTTCAGTGATTGTCCTCTCATATTATCACACATTTAGCTGGGGTCACTGGTCTGTTTCACTGGAAGAGGGAAACAGATCATGTATATCAACTGCAAAAATGTTCACTCTGAAGCAAAACAACAGTAATAATACTAGACTCTTCCCAGAACATTCTCTGAATAATATTCCAAATTCATATACCGTATCATAGCACAGCAACTTGAACAAGCACCATGCTGTCAGGAAACTATAGAGAATAAGACCTTTACTGACCCTGAAATCTTAGCACACTCACAAACCACTGCAGGAGGCACAAACCCAGGCAATGAACTTGTCCCTGCTTCCATTTCACAGCTCCCTGCCTATCAAGGAGGGCAGCAGTGTGTGTCACTGCCCATGTGCCACAAATGTCAACTCAGAGTCTCAGGACAAGTAAACTGCATTGAATTGATCCCTTGACCTGGCCATTGCCAAGATAGGATATTCTCGTCTTAAAATTGTCAGACTCCTGTCTTGAAGAAAATACAGGTGATCATTAGTACACCAGCTATAAAGGAAACCACTAAATACTGTATTTAAGGGTCAGATACCATTGTCGATCATATTCCTCTTTAAGAAATTTATTGGCACTCATTGATATTGGTGACTTTTATTTTTTTTAAAGATTTATTTATTTATGCATACAGGAGCTGGGGTACAGGCCAGAGATGTGGGGGGAGGGGGATTTGAGGGGATTCACCAGAGACAGAGTGGGGAACAGAATAGGCAGACTGACTGAAGTACACTGCTGAGGGAAGCAACAGGTGAGACAGGAGAGGTCTGCTGCGCCATGTGGGTTTCTCCCTGGCCAGGGATTGAACTCATGCTGTAGAGGCTGCGGATTGCTTCAAAGTGCATTGCTTAACTCCTTGCACCACCAGGGAGGCCCCTGGTGACTCATTTTTATATCAAGATAAATTTTAATAAATGCAGTAGACACTCATTAAAGGACATAAGAAATAAGAGTGATAAACCTCATTAAATGATAGGTTTAGTCACTAGACAAATATGTTGCCCCTTTTTGTGCAAAAAGCATCTTCCAGCACTTTATTAAAGATACATCATCTAAAGTGATATCCTTCCAATGACTTTTTTGCAAGAACGTCAGAGTGCACTGGCTATTAAAAGCTGTCTTACTGCTAACTTTTTATGTTCTGAAGCAAAGTCACTCCCCTGATGCATTCCTCCTGCTGGTGTGAACAACAAGCTTTCTATGAGACATGGTGTCACAAATACAAGGGACAAAGTCCATTTTTGCATGACAGTTTTGGCATTTTAAATTGTACATCTCAGTTTTAAAAATTATTGGACCACTGTTAAGGTTAAATCCTTACTGATTTCATTTTAATGCCAGGGTACTATGTATACTTCTATCTCAGGATACAATTATATCTCAACAAGTAAGTATCCACAGATGATTCTTTTGGTTAGTTTTTAAGTGGAGAATGAAAGTTACCTTTTTCACCCTTTCTGTTACTAAAAAAGATTCATAATAAAGTTTTTTCACCAATAATATAGAAACAAAAGTATCCTCTGCCAAAAGGGCATGTGAAAGATGACTAATAATGATTCTGATTCTTAGTATGTCCTTTTCCTAACTTCAATGTCTCATCATCCCACCCACCAAATCCCAAACTACTTGCTTTCTTGGACAGATAACCACAAGTACATCTTGGTAACATTCACCAATGTCATTTTAGGGTGGCTCATTTTCCCTTTCATGTGGATGACTAACATGAATTAGAAAATAAACCAACATATTTCCTCTTATAAATCAGCCTAATCCTCTCTGTAACAGAACAAAAGAGCAGCTGAACATTTTCATCTCTTGATATTGTTTAGCATGACAGGTTTCCATAAAAGATAGGATCTTGTGCCAAGTATTGTTGAGGATTAAATTCTTCCATAAAATAAACCATATACAAAATATGGCACATGAATAATCTCCCTAGCTACTTAAAATGTTGGGTATATTCATTGTTAGACTGCTCTGCTGAGAATGATACATTAGCAATCAATCTCATGTCCATATCCCCCATCCACCCTTATCCTCTGCCATATTTTTGGATTATATGACATTTTGTATCATGTAATGTAGCCCAATAATTTTTAAAGCTTAGATGTAAGCGCAAGAAGTAGTGACTGCTTTCATTTGAAATTTTTTAGCAACAAAAGGGGTAGAAATGGCAATTTTCACTCCACTTAAAAGTGAATTAAAAGAATCATCACATATACTTACTCATCCCTGCTTGTGCCTCACCAATATGCAGTGGGGATATTCAGAATTCAAATATTTGAACATTGTGCTCACTCTTGGTGTGTGGTATTCATGGCCATGGTCATTTACCAATCCTTCTGCCTCAAATTCTTCCTTTAATGGCTTCAGTATTTTCTAGAAGAAAACATTTTTCTCTCCAATTGACAAAGCATTCTTTTTTGTTAAAAATATTTTTCAATGAATTGTTTTGTGCACTTTTTAGGCGTGTGCTTTCTCTAGCATGGTATATAAGAGCTAATGACTTTAAAGGTCATAAATTAAAAGTCGACTCATTACTCAGGACCGTCTATATGACTGGAGTCACTGATACACAAAAATGCAGTAAGTAATAACTATCTACCTGGTAGAAGACTTTACCTTTGTGAAGCCTATACCTTTGTGAAAGTATTTCCCAAAGTAAAATATGCCTATAAACATAATTGTGTATACTTATTTTAATGCTTTCACACAAGGAGGCCTATCATTACATGAGCTGGAAAACAGTAACAGAATTGCATTCCACAAGTCTGAAGGTAGAAGTGTGCAGAAAAGGGAGAAAGGGACAGAAGTAGACAGTCAGAGGAAGAGAGGAAGACTCAGAGAAACTGTTGTTTAGATGCTGGCACCTCACAAGTTAACTTGGCCATCTTGAAGGGAGACAAAATAATAGCATGTTATTCCATTCTTCAAAATTTGAGCTGATGAAAATTTGTTTTCTGTTGTCATTCCTTCCAGGTCTTTCACTTCTGCTTTTCTCTTCTCCATTGAGGTTCAAGTGACAATAGGATTTGGAGGGAGAATGATGACAGAGGAATGCCCCCTGGCCATCACAGTGCTGATTCTCCAGAACATTGTGGGTTTGATCATCAACGCGGTCATGTTGGGCTGCATTTTCATGAAGACAGCTCAGGCACACCGCAGGGCGGAGACTCTGATTTTCAGCCGCCACGCTGTGATTGCTGTCCGGAATGGCAAGCTGTGCTTCATGTTCCGAGTGGGTGATCTCAGGAAAAGCATGATCATCAGCGCCTCCGTGCGCATCCAGGTGGTCAAGAAGACCACCACCCCTGAGGGGGAGGTGGTGCCCATCCACCAACTGGACATTCCTGTTGACAACCCGATCGAGAGTAACAACATCTTTCTCGTGGCCCCGCTGATCATCTGCCATGTGATTGACAAGCGCAGCCCCTTGTATGACATTTCCGCCACTGACCTCGCCAACCAAGACCTGGAAGTCATAGTGATTCTGGAAGGAGTGGTGGAGACGACTGGCATCACCACACAAGCAAGAACCTCCTACATCGCAGAAGAGATCCAGTGGGGGCACCGCTTCGTGTCTATTGTAACTGAGGAAGAGGGAGTGTATTCTGTGGATTACTCCAAATTCGGCAACACTGTTAAAGTAGCCGCCCCAAGGTGCAGTGCCCGAGAGCTGGATGAGAAGCCCTCCATCCTGATTCAGACCCTCCAGAAGAGTGAACTGTCCCACCAGAATTCCCTGAGGAAGCGCAATTCCATGAGAAGGAACAACTCCATGCGGAGAAGCAACTCCATCCGGAGGAACAACTCTTCCCTCATTGTGCCAAAGGTGCAGTTTATGACTCCAGAAGGAAGTCAGAACACATCAGAATCATGACAGCAAGACAAGCCCAGGGAAGTCTTCGACCCAGCGTTGACATTTTATGCAGGACACCGGCAGACAGTCCCAGAGCTGGAACACAGCAATTTGTCCTTCTACGCCTTAATGTACTAAATGATACTCATATTCCAATAATAGCACCTTTGTAGCAACAAACAAGGGTCATGCCAGCAAGGGTCCATGGCTCACACTTGTCTTAGATGTGCGTGCCTGGCAGTGATAGGCCTAAGTTTGTGTCCAAGTAGGAGGCTCCCATTTCTTTCCATTTGCAACGCAGGCATGACAATAACAGTAGTGGACTTTAAATACAAAAATTCGCCAAGGAATAATTCTGTTTGAAATGTTTAGTGGGTGAAACCCCAGATCTCTCTATTTCAGTTGTTCACCCTGGAAATGCCAATAGAATCAGAGGAGGAGGGACTAGGGGGGACAAAAATGATGTTTTTGACACCTCAGTGCATGGCTCCATATGCAGCTTTTCCTTTTCCTCTACAGCTCATCTAGTAAGAAGCCCAGGGCAACAACTGCTATTAAGGGGATTCTTCTCTCCCACGTGGTCTGTCACAATTTGTGACCTCAAGGATTTCTGGCCCTCATGGGGCAGCCTGGGGGCAGAACTGCAGAAGAGGCTTCCAGGAAAGCTATGCCATCCTGTCTCATTTAGGACTGATCACCCTGTAACCATTACTTTTTTCAGCTCACTTCTTAGCAGAGCCCCCCGCCAAGGAAACACTATACAGACTCTTATTAAAATATGTTCTCTATATTCATTGTAGTTTTGTGATTCCTTGTTTATACAATTATCCCTAGTTAAAGCTACTCTCTCTCCCTCTCTCCCCATTCGAATTCTGTTGTCCCAAAGCAGCTATATTTTTGGTTTCTAAAATGTCCTTTTGAGCTTCTGTCTGGGCCTGGTGTAGCATGGAAATTCCAGAACCTTTTTTGATTGTCCCACCTCTTACCTTTAAATTACAATTCCTTCCCAGGAATATCTGAAGTCAGGCATCATGTTTCGGTTTAAATTATTTTCTGCTAAGTGAGCTGTTCTATCAAATCTTGATTTAATCATTTTCACTGCTTTTCAAATGAAGGGATAAAGGCATAGAGAGGGATGCTGGGTTGCTAAACTATGGGTTTATTCTCATTTTGCACAAAATAACAGAAAGCTGAGCTCCCGGTAAACTTTTATACAGGTATTTGGGTTTTTAAAATTTCGTTTGTGAACACTGAAATAGGATTTGAATATACTCGTTATCAGCCTATCTTGAATGAAGGACTCATGATTCTGACCAGATGAATGGAAATTATTTCTCAGGTTACTCAGTTTATCATTCCTGAAAAATCCTAATCACTGCTTTGAAATCCAGACTCATGCATCAAACAAGTACATGAGGCCCCACTTGAATACCTGTATGAGTTTCCAACATCACATCTAAAAGCAAATGATTCATTTTCACTGACAGAAGCTGTCCCTCCCAAGTCTTCTAATCACTCAAACCAGAACCTGGGAGTTGTACTTGACACCTCTGTTCCATATTTCCCGTTCCACCCACAGCAAAATCTGCTAGGTCTGCCTTCAAAATATATTCAGAGTTCCACCAGTTCTGCCTCTACCACTTCCCTCCATGATCCAAGCTGAGCCGCTCACCACCTAGTATAAAGAAATGTAGCTGTACCAATTATGAGACTACTGAAACATTCCAGTAAAGAAAAATTGGCTTTAGTGAGACTTAGTCCAACAGATGCTAGATGCTGGCTCCCTGTTTCCCCCCGCTCCCAGGGCAGCTGAGCAGACCAAAAGGCAGCTGCCACACCAGCAATAAAAACATACAAGGTGCTTGCCTGCCATTCCGTGGCTGCTCAGTGTTTGTGGCAGTGATCCAGGCTCTGGGCAGGTAATGTGGGGACATAGACAGTGGGGCTGATATGCAGGATATCTAAGCCCAGTGGTGCAGAATGCCCAGGGGCAAATCTTGCTATGAAGTGTGACAATTTCCCAGTCACCTCCCAGCTGTCACCTGAAGCTCTGTGACAAGGACCTAGTGACAACCAATTTAACGGGAAAGTCAAGAGTTTGATGGGATCCCTGATTTTGAGATTCAGCAGCATGATTTAGCTAGTGACAGTCACACTGAACAAAAAAAGCCACATCAACAATTTCCTAAAACCCACTAATGTTTTAAATTTTTACAGTGGTTTCAGAACCTATTTTTGCTAAAAAATATTTAGGTGACTAAAAGATTTTGGAACCATACTGTAAGATTAGGTGTGTATATTGTGTATCATTTTGAATTATGTATTGAATGTAAGTATTTTATATTAGGTTCTCCACTCCTACCAAGTCTTCATACAGAAGCCACAATATTATTTTAAATCCTATTACATCATTCCCAACTTAATGCATTCCTCTGGCTTTCCATTTTTCTCAAAATGAAAGCCAAAGTTCTTCCTGAAGCATGTAAGCCCCTGCCTCTCATCATCACCACTCTTCTTGATCATTCCCACCCTATACCACACTGCTCTGGCTGTTCTTTGAAACAGAGTCATACATATTTTTGTGGCATGGATTTGTTTCTACGTGGAGCATTTTTCCTCAAAAAAACTTCCTGGGTCTCTCCTGTCATTATGTCTGTTTCCACCCAAGGGCCCTCTCATGGGGCAGCATGGTAGAGTGGGCAAGAAAAGAGTCTCTGCAGACATGCTGCAGGGGAGGGGGAGAGAGAGGGAGCAGAGGGAGGGAGGGAAGAGAGCAGGAGACTGTGGTGATGGTGCACGGGTGCCTTGGGGAAGGAAATTCTATGGGGACTACACCTGAGGGGGTGGGGGGAAGCAAATATTGTTATAAAAAAGAATATTTTTTTTTAAAAAAGAAGAGTCTCTGCAGCCTGACTGTCCAGGTTTACTTTACCTTCAACACTTAGTATCTGTGAGGTCTTAACCAAATTAATTTCTTTGTGCCTCAGTTTCCCCAAGCAAAAATTCAAAATGATTACAGTACCTACTACATGAATTTTGGGAGAGGATTGAGTTGATAGGTTGAAGGGTCTACAAATAGTTTAATTCATTTACCCAGAACAAAAGGTTTGAAATAAAAAGACTGCCTTAAAAGTAGCTGGATTCTTAGTGAATAAGTAGTTCAAAGCTATGCATTTATGTTCTAGGACAGAGACAAAAGCTTGCTGCAAAATGAATCTGATCTCTTTAAACTCCGCAGCAAAGACCAAGTCCACCCTCTGCCAGTGGCTTGCCCGATTCTTTGACAATACAATTATAAACCAGAGACATCCTGCAGCAGAGGAAGTGGGAGAGGGATCAGAGGGAGAGAGGGAGGAGCACAGAGGACTGAGGTGATGGTGCACCAGGCGAAATGGTGAAGGAAATTCTGTGGGGACTATACCTGAGAGGGGTGGAGGAAGCAAACATTGTTTAAAATGAACAATAATGTAATATATATATATAATATTTTAGCAATGAAGAATGTAAAAAAAATTTAAAAATAAATACTAGTGGACAATACCTGCTTCCCTATCATCAAACACCACCATACACCACTTTACAACGTTGTGGTCACATACGTCCCAGTGGTCCCCACAGGCTGCACATTGAATCTAGGTGACACCATCTATTAATAGGTTTGTGCAATGACACACTGTGTCATTGGCACAACCGGAATTGGCTAACCAAGCATTTCTCAGAATGTATCCCCATCATTAAGTAACACATGGCTTACACATGTGGTGTATAAAACACACAAAGTGTAAAGGGAAACATTTTGCTTACAGAGGATATTTCTGGTTTCTCATATCTATTGTTATTCACCCAGTAATACATATACAGAATATCCACCATATCTAGCATTTACCATCTGGTCAAAATAATGAGGTGTTTATCTTTTCTTAAAGGAAGAGCAAAAGCTGATAGTGAATATAGGCTCTGATTCTGATGGCCTAAGATGGAAAATATCAGGTGAAGAAAACTAGCTTGCAGGCCAAGATTGCAGAAGAGACACTTCCATCTCAAAATCAAAATCAATACCTCCTCCTAATTACCGAGCAGGCATGGGAGGACACAGAGCTGTTGCACATATAGATTTAGTGAGAGCTTGGTGAGAAAACGGAGCACTATTCTGAGAACTATCATTTTTTTTTTTTTCTGCTTATTCCAATACCACAGTTGCAGTCTATAATCCCCCATTATTTGTCACTCGACTCAACAAATTCTTTTAGTAAAATTCCTCTTCCCGTCCACAGACATTTCAAATGCCCCTGGCCAGGTGTCTGTCACCTAAGTATCCCAGAACCCCCAGAGAAGTTAGCCATGTCGTGACAGCAGGGTAGGGTAACTACCTTGCTCACTGGTTGCAAGCATTTTTGTCGTTGAAGGATTGGTCACTTACAGATTAAGAAGTTTCCTCTTTGGGAATAAATTAATTACAGATAAGAAAGAAAGAATGCAAAAGATATCTACATCTCTTGGGGTTCCTAGTCCCAACTTCTGTCCCTTAAAACTTGTTTAAGGTAGAGACAGAACTGAAATGAGTGTCTCCAAGGACCTGTGCATTAAAATAACCATAACAAATTCTACAGGCTGTTTAAGAGAAAACTCAAGGGCCATGCTCTTCCCATGATCTTTAAGCACAATTCTCATCAATGGTGATGGGAATTTCCCCACAGACCTCGGAAGGAAGTGACTCTAGTGACACCCCTTGGATAATTTACTGCACAGATCCAAGTTTAAGTTCATAAAAAACTTAATCAGTCTTTCACATCACATCAAAATATCACAGCAGAACTGACTTTTCATTTAGGGTATTTACATCCTCCTCAGTACTCTCAGCTGCTGTCCCAGTTCTCACGAAGACTTTTTTGGCTGTACTCTATGACGCCTCCTCCCCCACCTCTAATTCTCTCTGGGGTAATTTAAATGAAGCTATAACTCTGCAGTGTTTATTTTAATCACTTGAACAAACAAAAATTTTAAGGCTGGATGTCCACATACTGTTGGATAACTTCAGTTTGTATTGAATGAGCATGGACAGGGTGGAGGATACATAGTTACCTGTAAAATTGAAGTTAAAATATACTTCTCACTGGAATTAGCCATATTAATGGATTTTTCAGAAAGCTTCCATTATTCATGATTGACAGATGAAAAGAGTCCACATTCTCTATTAAGCCTGCTAATCAAGGCTCTTTCTGGCTTGACTCCCACACACCTTTGTAGGGACATGTCCTGATTCCACTCCATTCCTCAACATCTCATATGGATTCAAGTTCACTGATTGATATTCAGTCTCCCCCACAAGGCTGAAAGCCCCTGGTGTTAAAATACTATGATTTCTCTACCAAAACTACTATTTTTACAAAGCCTTCTCAAATTCTCCACCTAAATGACTCCTTTATCCCCACCATGTCCACCCTTGTTTATTGTTTATTTCATAACTGGTAATGTGTAACTTTTTTTTTTAAAGATTTATTTATGTATCTATACAAGCACTGGGTACAGTCAAAAGCATGGGAGGGTGAGAGAATTCACCAGAGCCAGAGCAGGGAGCAGAACAGGCAGACTGATGAAATACACTGCTGAGGGGAGCAGCAGGTGGCAGGAGAGGTCTGCATGCCATGTGGGACCCTCGCCGGTGGCCGGGGAGCAGCCGGGGATCAAACCGGTGCTGTAGAGGATGCAGGCAGCTTTGCAGCCCAGCACTCAACTGCTGCACCAGCGGGGAGGCCCTAATGTGTAACTTTTTGATGTCATACACCTCTCGTAACTAGATTTCAAGTCTTTTCCCCAAACTACTTATCACACTGCATGCCTAATATAGACAGTGATGGCAACCTGATAATTAATGCCCTCTCCAAATCCACCTTTCCATTCTTTCAGAGTTACAGAGTGGTTTAGCTAGAGATACTACATTCTCCAAATTCTGCTATAGTTTGTAGTGGCTGTGTGCCTAATTTTAGGCCCAGGGCCAGTGACCAGAAGGCAAATGGAGCATTTCTCACTCTAGAGTTTAAAAACTCTGAGCTGGGGCCTCCTGCTGGCAGAGGAGTTAAAGTCTCAGCACTATCAAGCTATCACAAGCCACTACAGCATGAATTCGATTCCTGGCCAGGGAGCTAACCCACATGGTGAGCAGACCTGTCCTGTCTCGCCCGCTGTTCCCCTCAGCAGTGTATTTCAGTACAGCTACCTGTTTTGCTCCCCACTCTGTCTCTGGTGCATCCTCTCATCTCCCTCCCTATACCTCTCGCCTAGACCCCAGTTTTTCTATGCATTAAAAAAAAAAAAATCTTAAAATAAAAACTCTGAACTTATGTTTTTCCACTTTCTTTTCCCTCCATTGGACTAGACCCACATGGTAGAAACCAACTTTAATCAGACTGTTGATAACAAAGTCCATGGAGCAAAAGGATAGAAATAATGTAGGACAGTAAATGACTTTGTGGAATAGAACCATACCAGTCTAGCCTAGATGGTCACATTAGAGATAAATAAACATCTATACTATTTTAGTGCTGTTTTAGTTTATTTTTTTCGTTTATATATTCTGTTACTATACTACACCTTAGTCATTATCCCAACTAATACAATGCTAAGTTAGATCAAATGGCAAGGCTATTAGAGCGTCAGAAGCTATCTGCTATCCTCATGCCCTCCAAAAGATAGATGCCTATAGTTTATAAAGAACGCTTACAAATCAGTAAGAAAATATAAGCAGATAAAAATAATTGGCAAATTACATGTAAAAGCATATCACAAAAGAGAAACTGAAATGCCAACATATAAACCAAAAGATGTTCAATTTCACTAGGAATCTGAAAATACAAATTAAAACACAATGCAGTACCATTTTACTCCATCAGAATGGTTAAGCTGTGAAAGGTAGAGATAAGCAAGGAGAGGATAATGAGCAAGTGAAATTTGCATACATCACTTTTGGGAGGATAGTACTGCCATAATCACTTTGAGAAACTCTTCAATAGGGTTTTCCAAGACTGACCTACAGCAATCCCTAGAATCCAACAATTCTACTTTGGGTACATACTCAAAAGACTTCTACAAGAAGTCTTTTATAGCATTACTGTTAATGTAGCCTCAAACCGGAAACAACCAAATGTTCATTTATAATAAGATAGATATATAAATTCCAATGTAGTTAAAAGATAAAATACTATAGAATATGAGAATGGTAACTATTTGTGTTGGTATCTAGCTCATAAACACATTGTTGATTAAATCAAAAGAATTAAAAATAGGTAATACAACTTTGTGGTGTTGATGGCTCAGGACACTTCCTATCTCACAGGGCAAAGTGAAGCCTCTAGAAAACAGCATGAGAGCTTTTTGATCTATGTTCTAATTATATAGGGGTAGTCAGCTTGGTAAAATTCATTTATTTTTATTATATATAAAGTTTATCACATATAACTTGGGCACTTCTGATTATATACAGTTTCCTTCAATTAAATTTTAAAGAACTTAAGCAAAAAATACTTTTAAAAGAGGAAAAAAACCTAGAGATTAAAAAAGAAATCACTTTAACTTAATATCAATGGAGATATACTTTCCTAACTCTGGGGTAAATGCATTGAATTTTCCTAGAATGACTATCAAAAAGCCTGATAAATAACTCATTTAATAATGCAGATATATCCATTGTAACAATCTACTAGATTTA